TACATTGACCTTGATTCCTGTGATTTTACTAAATTCAATTCTCAGTTGTGGGGTGGGATATTATTTCTGTTCATTCTATTTGGGGGGATAGATTTCTTAAGATGTTTTACATATACGATCATGTCATCTGAAAAAGAGACACTTTTGCTTCTTTTTAAAAAAATTTGTGTATTTTTTATTTCCTACATTGTTGTACTAGATAGGACCTCTAGTAGAGTGCTGAACAGATGTGGAGAGAGCAGCCATCTTGCTCCCGAAGCCAGAAGCATTCACTATTTTACCATTAACAATGACGCTAACTTGATTTTTGCATATGCTCATTATGAGATTGGTGAAATTTTTTTCTTTTTTTAGTATTTTCAGAATTTTTTTCAGGAATGCGTGTCAAATATTGTCAAAAATGTTTTTGCATCAATTGAGGTATTATTATTTTTCCCTTTGATTCTGTTAATGTGATGAATTACAATTGGTGAATTGATTTTATAACGTGAAACCCATCTTGCAATCCTGGCATAAACTCCATTTATTAATAACATTTATCCTTTTCATAGATACTGAGTTTGATTTCTTAATATTTTATTGAGGACTTTGTATCTTTATTCATGTAAGAATTGGTTGATAATTTTCTTTAAATGTCTGTCAAGTTTTGGTATCGAGGTTATGCTAGCCTCATAAAACAACTTAAAAATATTTCCTTCTATTTTCTTAGAGTTCTAGTTTTTTTCTTAAACTTTTGATAGAATTTATGAGTAAAGCCATCTGGGCCTGGGGTTTTCTTTGTCATGAGGTTTTTAATTATGAATTTAATTTTTAAAATGCATATAAAGCTATTTGAATTTTTCTATTTCTTCCTTATGTAATTTCGATAAGATATACTTTTCAAGGAATTTGTTCATTTGCTCTAAGCTGTTGAATTTATAGGCATAAAATCATTAATGTTTTTGTCTTCTTGGGAAATTGAATCGCTTTTCATTATGTAATAGCCTGCTTTATTACTGGTAATATTTCTGGTCTGAAACCAACTTTAATTTTAATAAAGCTACTTGAGCTTTCTTTTGAATAGTGTCTGTATGGCTTATCTTTTCTCATCCTTTTATTTTTAACTAATCTATGTCTTTATATTTAAAGTGATATTTTTGTAGGCAGCATATAATTAGGTCTTGCTTTTTATCTGATCTAACAATATATCTTTGAATTAGTGTGATTTGTGTTGACTATGATTACTGATGTGGTTGAAGTAAAATCTGTCACCTAATCAACTGTTTTCTATTCGTTCCTTTGTGCTTTTGTGTCCTTATCGATTAATTGAAAATATTTTATGATTTAATGTTATTTTCACTATTGGATTATCACGTATACCTCCCTTGAAAAAAGGGAGTAGTTACCTTAAGATTTACTGTATACATCTTATTTACCCAGAGTGTACTTTTAAATAATAGTCTGTTTCATATCTAATTTAAGGACAATAATATATCCTTAATTTCTCTCTCCTATCCTCATTCTTCTGTTGCTGCGTATTTACTCTTGCAGATGCTGTGAATACACTAGACTTCTATTTTTGTTCTAGATAGTTATCTTCAGAACAATTTAAAAGAATAGAAAATGAATTCCGAACTTTATCTTTAGTTATTCCCTTTACAACATCGTTACTTTCTTTGTGTAGATTCAGATTTCTGTCTGCTACTATATTCCTTTTGCCTGAAGAGCTTTCTTTAACATTACTTATAGTGCGGGTCTACTGGTAATGAATTTACTCAGATTTGTTTTTAGTTTTTGGTTTGGGTTCAGGAAAGTATTTCCTTCCCCTTCCTTTTTGAAAGACATTTGTGCTGGGTATAGGATTCTGACTTGACAGGTTTTAATTGTTATGAAGCAACAGACGGAATTCCATTGTCTTCTGTCTTGCATAGTTTCTAAAGAGAAGTCTACTACTAATTTTTATTCCCCTGTATGGACCATGTGTTTTTTCACAGCCTTCATAATTTTCTCTTTGTCTCCGGTTTTCAGCAGTTTGAATATGATATTCCTATGGTGTGGGGGTCCTTTTGGGAGGGGAGCATTTATTCTGCTTGGTTTTCTTTGAGGGTCTTGGAACTGTTATTTGGTATCTGTCATTTCATCTTAGAAAATTCCAAGTATTGTTTATCTTTTCTTCCAATTACACATAGGTTAGATCTTTTGGTTTTGTCCATATCTCTTGGATGCCTTGTTGTATTTTTCCATCCACATTCCATCCTTCCCACTGTTCTGTAATCAGTGCCAGAATTGTTATAAATCCAGTTCCCATGCATGTGAGGACTGACTGAAGAAATTTTGTTGCCATTGTCTCCTCTTTTATTCTTCAAGTCCTTGTGGGTTTAGCACTTTAAAAAATTGTTTTCTGCCATTTTAGTGGTCTCGGAAGGGAATGAAAGTAGACGCACGTGCGAAACCTACCGTTTTACCAGAAAGTCAAGTTTGAATTTATTATTTAAATTAAACAAGTGCTGAAAAGAACTAAATAAAGTGGTGACAAGGGCTAAATTTCCTATCATCTTTGAAATGAATTAATCTATTATATCTTATTTTCTCATTTTAATGTACTTTTGCCTTCTCGAAAATAAGAGAAAAGAATCACAAATAATAATAGCTAACTTTAATCAAACACATTGTGTGCCAATGTTATAAATGCTGCTCTTGTATTAACTAATTTAATTCTCACAACTTTACAATGTAAACACTCTTATTATTATCAATTTTATAGATGAGGATAAACTTTAGCACAGAAAGATTAATTTGTCCAAAGATGCAGAAGAAAAAAATGACAGAACTCGGCTTCTTACCCACTATATTCTAACTTCTTTCAACAAATGGGAAGACAATGGCTTTTACGTCACATCTTTGTTTTTGTTCTGTGCAGTTCTTCATGTATTACCGTTACTTCTCCAAGAATCTTTATCCGTTATTCAGCAAGTACATATTTAGTGCCTGTTAATGTGCCCCAAATTATTTTCTTTACTGCGAAGGTATAAAGAAATATGTCAGGGCCGTTTCTTTCTCTTCCAAAGAGCTGACCCCCACAAATCTGAAAATAAGCTTTATGGTACAGAATGGTATCACCATTCAGACAAAGGAAAACTTGATTTGATCTGGGTGCTGAGAAACCGTGGAAAACACATTAAAAACAATGATGTTATTCAAGAGTTTGCTTAGCTTTCCGATTACCCATGCTGCTTTTCAGTTCTCCCTTTACCTCTTTTTTGCATCCTAAATCTTAGCTATTGGACTGTTTATAAATACTTCTTCCACAGAGCAAAATAAAAAGATTGTTTATAAGTTCAAAAGATCTTTGTAAAGCTTCAAATGGGAAGTCTCAAATTCCTGAGACATATATATACTTATTCCAATCATCTTCTTTCCCCATCAAGATGGGTTACTGAGAATTAACATATATTAACATTAGGTGTGCTATAGTATTTCTGGAATAGCTGTGAGTAAACAAAGGGTTTCTAGATGGAACATTATTTTTAGGTTGGTTAGCATGAGATTTGACTCCTAATAGTCACCTAACAAATATTGATGGTTTCACTGATTGAATGAATGAAAATCAGGAATCTGAAGGTGAACCTTCTTATAAACAATAAAGAAAGTCTTCGTGAGTTTGTATTTTAATTTGAAGAGATTTTCCTGATACAGTGCACGTTAACATATCTTAGAGAGGAGGTTGTAGTTGATTTATTATCCTTACTTGGAAGCTCTGTAGAATTGAGGGACTGGATTCATTCATATCTTACGACCACTACCTACCCAGTGTAGTACTGGAAGACAGGAAGAACTCAATAAATAGTTATTGAAAGGAAAACACGAATTATTCGACAATATCAATTTTGATGCTGAAGGAAGTCTGTATGCTAGAAAACTCATCCCAAGGGTAGAGTCTAGACAAAACTAACAGTAACAATAGAACAATTTTTCAGGAAAAACTTGGTAGTGTAGTGATCAGACCACATTCTTGGGAGCCATGCATACCTGGGGTCTAGTCCCATCTCTGACATGTACTAGCTAGCTATCAACCCCAAGAAAGCTGTTTGGCTTTCCAAATACCAGTTTCTTCGTCTTTCAGTTTGGAGCAGTAACACTTTGTTGTAAGGATCAAATAAGATATTCCACAGCAAGAGCTTATGTCATGACCACCTACAGTAAGCGTTCGACAAATGGTAAAGAAATAGTTATTGTTATAGAGAGATTTCAGGAGTTGAGGCCGTGGTCAGTAGGATCTATAAAGAATCTTGACAAAGGTGAGGGAATCTAAAACAGGGGGTCTACATGCTTCCCGTGGTTTTCTTGCTTTAGGAATTTTGAGTGACATTTGTTTGGGCATAAGGATATGTGGAAAGAGATGGGATGGGACAGGGGCTAGAAATCCTTCCTACGTTTAGAGAAATGGCCTCTCCCAAGGATCTGTGCCAACAGGGACACATAAGCTAACCTTATCAGCTGAGGATGAAAGCAGCCAGAGGCAAGGGGATATGAAATTGAGTTCTCATTTGTCAGGTGTCAGTTTGCTGCTATGGTCTAAGGAAACGGTGTTCAATAATTCTTAGAAATTGGTAATAATACCATTTACATGGCAGTTCCTCTTATAATTTCATAGCACTTCTGCACATACTGTTTTAATTTCTACCACAATGCTATGAAGAACCTGAAATAAATATTATCATTCCCATTTTATAGATGAGTAAATACATTCTGAGAAGGGAAATGACCATGCCCAAGGTCATTCAGCTACAGTAGTTGACCTTAGACTCGAACCCAAGTCTTCACTTTGGGTTCGTTATTTTTTTTTCCCATGAAACTAAGCAGCGTGTTTGTTCTGTGGAATCCATTTTGATTCTTTCGTGCACTTGCACACATGCTAGACCCTTAAGATTTTGTGTTCATAAGATCATTTAGTAATCAGCAGCAGCAGCTAAAAGAAACAGCCTATTTTTTAAGCCTTATGTCTCTTTTTGGTCCAACAGGGAACAAAGTTTGTCCTCCTGACACACCGTATCTTTAACGATGTCAATAAAGTGATGTCCCGGCCCTTGGGTTAAGAGACCCTGACTCTTCCAGGACTGCTGGTTGTCCAGAGGAGGCCGTGATTCTTCTTGTGATGCATGAGGCTGTGCTCATTTCCATCAGTCACTCCACGAAGGGGCCAGAGCTGCTAAGCAGAATGAACCTCAGGACAGATAGCAGTTGAAATCCAGAAGATGCAACCTCACCAGCAGATGAGGTGTTGATTATGGAGTCCTTTCCATCTCTCAGTTGATATTTCGAGTTGATACCCAGAATAAATTTTACTATCTATCGTTAATGCACTCACTATCTTTGTTTTAAATGGAAAAAAGGGGGAAATATATCGATACCCCTGCAGCAGCATAGGAAATCTGCCTCAAGTGGAATCTTTTTCTTTAGCATGACTAACGTTACTCTTTACAGTTCTCCAAAGTAATTATTGTATAATTGGCTTCCTATTCGTACGGATTGGTGTTATTCTTTATGAGTTTTTAGGTGATAGTTTGTTTCAGGAAGAATCCTCTCCAGAAACCATTCGAAAGATTATTATCGAATTCCTAAATGAAGAATTAGAAGCCGAATTGGCTAGGCGAAAGGCACAGCCAGCCAGCTGGCAGCAGGCTGATCTCGTCTCCTCTGGGTTCTGAACTGTCAGAGGTTTGATTGACAAAGCTGCAGAGGGCAGCTGTCCGTTCCAAGTCTTCCAGGGGGAGGGCAGCAGGCACGCCAGTGTCGTTCTCATCCTGAGGCCGTCTCGGGCATTTCAAAGTCTACAAGCACGCGGTTGTTGAACACGCCCGTGCCCTCTGATGCGATCGTGAACGTGAGGGTGTCGCAGCCACTGCGCTACGTTCTCGAAATAATGTCATTGTGTTCCAACAGCAATTTGAAATGAAAAGAATCATCGCATGTTACACATTTTGAAACGAGGTTATGTACCTTGTCCAAGGTCACACAGCTATCGAATGGCAAAGTAGGGACTTGAACCTAGCTGTCCACCCCCGACCCAGTGCTTCCAGCCGTCACCTTCATTGTCTCTACCGAGACCGTGGCTCCCTACTGTAACTGTTAGATCTGGAAAGTGTGGGCCTGAGAGAACTCTTAACTATGAAATTATAACTCTTTGCCTACTGAGATTCTTATTTTAGGAAAACCCAGAGGAAGATTATGTTAACATATTTATTCAACATTTGGGCACAATGTTTACATTTACAAAATGCTTTCTAGTGTAACAGAATAGGCAGAAACTTTTCTTTGGCCATATAATTGCCTTTTCATATTCATTTATGCCTTTGATTGTTATAGTATATTTCTGACATGGTCTTCTGAGATCGTGTACAATGGTAACGGATTCATAATAAGATTAATAAAAGAGTATTTCATGTTACTAACAGGGAAAACCGACTAGGGCCATGCCCGTCTCCATTCTCCATAAATGTTATGCAGAAGAGCCTGGTATCGTTCCCAGCCGTGCTTGTTCGTGGAGCTTTAAAACTACACGGAGCTCCTGTTCCCGGTTCATTTTACGGCGTTCAGGTGGTTTGGGGCGCTGGGCGTTTTGGATAACGAGCTGCCGCCAGCATCGACTGAAGGACACACTCGTCCTGCCCTGTCCATCATCAAGCGGGAGCCCTGCACAGAGCTTTCGTGCTGACCATTCCCTTTGCCTGGAAATCTTTCTTGCCAGATGGTCACATGCCTGTCGCCTTCTTTCCATTCAGGCCTGACGTCGGGCGGCACCTCCTCCGGGAAGCCTGCCCTGACCGCAGATCCCAAAGTGCCCCTGGCCGGTGGTGTGTCCTGGTGTTCTCTTTCGTGTCTCTCTCCAGAGTGTAATAAATAGTCTGTTAAGTCTAAAGTTCCAGGTTGGTGAGAATAAATTTTTTAAAAAATACTGATAACCTGATATTTTGTCATTTGCTAAGTTGCTGCGATGTGCTGTAAAATAAATTAAGGGAAAATTTTTAAACTACTTTTTTCTTAACTTAAAATTATACTTTATTGAGGGTGTTACTGACCAAAATTAATATTTTAAAAAATAATTGGAATTCTTTTTTATTTTTATAATAAGTGGAATGATTAATAATGTAATACTTGAGTTTTGGTCTTCAAGTCAGTCTCACTGTGGCTTCTTCTGCATATCCTAAGGAATCTCTTCAGTGTAAAGTACTCTGAAGGCTTACAATAAGCTCCCTGTCTTTTTAAGGAATCAGATCATCACTGTGAAGGGCGTGCGAATACCGAGCTAGGGCCCATGCCTATATCCGGCCACCTTACATGTTCTAAATGACATGTGTGTGTAATCGGTAGATTAAAAAGTTATTCTCAAAAAAAAGTTTGCCCACCTTTGTAATACAGTCACATGGCTCCTAACTACAGGGATATGTTCTGAGAAGTACATTAGGCGATTTTGTTGTTGTGTGAACATCACAGAGGACACTTAATACAAAGCTAGACGGCATAGTGCACTGCACGCCTAGGCTCTGTGGCATAGCCAGCCTATGGCTCCTGGGCTACGAGCCTGTGCTGTAGGTACTGTACTGAGTACTGCAGGCAGTTGTAACACAATGGGAAGAATGTGTGCATCTAAACATAGAAAAGGTACAGTAAAAATATGGTCTCAAAGATAAAGTATGTGCGCACATATGTTGGGGGACAGCGAGGGCTGCGGAGGGAGGCGGAGGGGGGAGAGTAGCATCGGAAAGGAGGAAGGAGGGGGAGTGGAGATGGGGGATCAAAAGAGACCCTGAGGGATAAAGCTTGTGACGGGAATGATAGAGAGAGGGGGAGAGAGAGAGAGAGAGAGGAGACTGGTGGGGCGTGTGCCCCCAGACTACCCCTCTCCCCAGCCCACTCCTCTCCCTCACTTGGGGATGAGGGGTGGGGGTGCACAAGGCAGGTGGACAACACACTGAGCCTCCTATTCAGACTACCCAGAGCGAGCAGGAAATTCAACATCTTAGTTGGATCCAGCTTATTCTTTCGGTATTTCAAATAAAATTTTTATTATAATCTATTATAATCTTATAGGACCGCCATCATATATGTGGTCTGTCATTGATGGAAACATCTTTACATGGCACATCGCTGTACATTTGTGCGAATATTAATCTTTTTTCTTCAAAAATTGCAGGCAGTGCGCCTAACTATACTGTGACTTAGAAAACCAAGTGAAGAAGCTTGAATTGGGAGGGACAGTTGAGGGACAGGAAGACTGGTTAACGTGGTTCTCAACTCAGGCTACACATTATTAAGAATCTGGGGGATGGAGCCCAGGGCCTGGTACTTTTTAAAGTGAGCCAGGTGATCCGATTTGCAGTCGGGGATGAGAAGCACTAGATAAGCAGGCTGTTAGTAGTTCAGTCTCGGGAAGAGAGTAATCAGGGTAGCAGTTGCCAGGCCCCTGCCTTCCCCAGGCCTGCCAGGTAGAGGCACCCGATTGTCACCCAGCTCCGACCGAACCTGGGAGAAGCTCAGGATCCCCCTTCCCACCTGTCGGTGGGTTCCGGCCATTCTCAGCAGCGTCCGATGAGCCTAGAGGTGCCATCCAAGCACACTTTCCTTGATCAAAACAAAGCCTTTGAATTCATGGAGAAATAAAACCCACCTCTTTAGCAAGAGGCCACGTAAAGCCACATGGCGAGGGGCCTGAATCCAGGGGTGGGGTGAAAAACGGGGACCATTAATGCCATCAGTCAAACCACAGATGAGAAGCAAATAAGGGAGATATTGATTGAGTATTTTTGAGAAAGAAACAAAAACTGTGAACGTCAGCGATGCAGGGAGTGTAATTTGATCTGAGGTGAAAATAAGGTGTGCCCGGCGACAAGATAATCGTGATCACAGGAAGCGCCTAAAAGTGTGCGCTTTTTGTGACGTGAGTGTACGAATTATTTAGATGGGTTAACGATGGGAACGTCAGCGTACCACTCACAAGCATGACCAGGGGAGAGAGTGGGCTTGGATTAGATCCTGGCAAAGATGGGAGGGTCGGCAATGCCCAGCCGCCTTCAGGGAAAGGAAGCAGGATGCCGGGGGCTACGGCCACCACAGTTGGCATTAGTAGAAGCCCCGTGGACTTGGCTGTTGCTAAGTGTGCTCACTTCGTCAATTTGCTGCTGACATACGGGCTTCCACTCTCCTGCAGGCACATGGCATGTTGTACTTCCCTGTCCGTTGAACTATGAGTGAAGGGTCATCTGTCACTTACTCGTGGAAGCAATTAAGAGCCACCGTTCTATTTGCATTCTCTTTTCCTCTGACAATGAACCATCGACCTCGTGTTGAGATGGTGGAGCCTTGGGTCCCCGAGTGACTAAATTGAGCACAGCCGCCTGCTGGCCCACAGTGGACGGATGACATGAAGACACATAAGCTGTGTTGTGTTAAGCCACGGAACATAGGGGGTTAATTTTATTGCAGCAGAGCCTAGCCTATCCTGACTACTTCAAGGACTTTCCCATGAACGTGCCCCTGTTCATGCTCTCTAGAACTTTACGTCTAGCCTGGTAAAGTAGAGGGAAGCAAATTTTCAACACAGAAAGTTTCCGGATCTATCTTTCTATGCTCATCTAAGTCAGCAGACTCAAGGGGACGGAGAATAAAAGAGAGCTAATTTTGTCGACTTCCTACTCGAGCCCCAGCATTGTGTGAGATGCTGTGCCTGCTGTCAGTCTTTAAAACAGTTTGCTTGTTTAATATAAATATATTATAGATGAGGAAGAGTTGCTCAGAAGAGGTTTGATTACTTGCCTGAAAATCAGATAGCTAGTAGATGTCAGAGCTGGGACAAGAACCCAAGTTCATCCGACATCAAAACCTATGTTCCTTCTCCATAGTATCAACATACAAGTGATGAACTTTTAACCCCCTATAACCTTACTCCTAACCATGATCTCTTTCAAATAATCTTTAGTTAGATTGATTTACTATTTAAGCTATTATTCTTAGAATTGCTTTCTTTCATTTCATCCAGATTTGTTTTTAGTGATCTTTGACACCTGAGGCGCTACAAATCTCTGTGTTTGTTTAAACTCCAACCAAACGCTCATGTTTGTTTGAAGTCAGGATATCATCGCCAAGATGGCTGAAAATGGCTTCTCTGTAGCTACAAATTTTTAAGAATGTGAGGTTTGCCCTTTATGGCCAGGACCTTGGAGAGAAATAGAATAAGATGTAGAAGGAGCAGGCTTCTTTCTGAAGAGGGAAGAATGAAGGCTGTACTCAAGTGACACAGGTCCTTTGGCGCATAGGATCTTTCCAGCCGCCATCTGCACAACCATTTGAAACATACGATGTGTCT